CAAACAGGGAATAAACAAATAATAAATTTCGAGAGTATCAAGGATGCAAGGATTATACATTAAATTGTATAGCTTTTTTGTATTAGTCACTGTTGTAACATGAATGTAATAAGTTTATATATAACTTTAAGTATTATAAATTAATATGGAAAATTTACTTGTCAAAAATTATAACCTGTTATACCTGTCAAACGTCATAACTATTCATATAATTTATCGGTTCTCATCAAAATCTCGACAACCATAATGCCAAAAGTGTTAAAATCCCGACACTGACATGTATTTCTGAAATAATTATAAAAACAAATACTCCAAGAAATCAAATGTATTTATACCATCTCGAGATTTCGATATAGACCCGAAAAATTTACCTGTCAAACGTCATAACTATATTTATATAATTCATCGGTTTTGATCAAAATCCCGACAACCATAATCCCAATTGTGTTAAAATCCCGACACTGAAATATATTTCTGAAATAATTATAAAAGAAATTACACTAAGAAATCAGATGTCGAAATTTATAGCTGTAAAAAGCTATAACTTATTATACCTGTCAATCGTCATAATTATATTCATATAATTCATCGGTTTTGATCAAAATCCCGACAACCATAATCCCGACACTGAAGTAATTATTATCCCGATTTCTGAAATAATTATAAAAGAAATTACACTAAGAAATCAAATGTCCAGATTTATACCAAGTCTGGATTTCAATATAGACCCGATAAATTTACCTGTCAAAAGCTATAACCTATTATACCTGTCAATCGTCATAATTATATTCATATAATTTATCGGTTCTGATCAAAATCCCGACAACCATAATCCCGACAGTGTTAAAATCCCGACACTGAAATAAATTTCTGAAAAAATGATAAAAAAAATTGCACCAAGAAATCAAATGCAGGGATTTATAACATGTCGGGATTTCGATATAGATCCGAAAAATGTACCTGTCCAAAGCCATAACCTATTATACCTGTCAAACGTCATAACTATAATCATATAATTTATCGGTTCTGATCAAAATCCCAACAACCATAATCCCGACAGTGTTAAAATCCCGACACTGAAATATATTTCTGAAATAACGATAAAACAAAATTACACCAAGAAATCAAATGTGGGGATTTATACCATGTCGCAATTTCGATATAGACCAGAAAAAGTTACCTGTCAAACGTCATAACTATATTCATATAATTTATCAAAAATCCCGACAGTGTTAAAATCCCAACACTGAAATTTATTTTTGAAATAATTATAATAAAAATTCCATCGAGATATCAAATGTTGGGATTTCGATATAGACTCCTTCTTCAGAATGATAATTCAATGTTATACTGTAATAAACTTCTTTGTTGTATTTTGCGGGTATTTTGTTGGTCTTAATATCATTAATTATAAAGCTTAGATACTACAGTTTCAGTAAAAAGAAAGATATAATATTGATATATTTGTATAAAATTAATATAGAATATAAATCTTCTGTATTTGGGAAGATGGAATGCGAATGGATATTTATATTTTGACAAATTGCAATGTGATTTATGTGATTTTTTTTTTGTGTAGTGACTATTTTTTTTGTGCTTCGGCGTTTGTGATTTGGGGGGCCTTCCTGAAGTGGCACATCCCATCTGGCCACGGCTATCATCGGGTGTGGCCCAGGTTCAACCCCCCTTGGGACGTTATTAATGCCTTTTTACATTAAAACCCCTCGTATGCAAAACCATATGGTGAGACACGGATTGGTTTGATTGTCGAAATCAGTCTAGCATGGTGTGAAGAGAAATAATAAGTAAAAAAATAAAAATTGTATATATTTATACGTGAACGTGAATCTGAAATTTATTCGCGTGTTTTCGAAAACGAGCAATAAAATATTTTAATTGACACGAGTATTATTAAATTCCTATTTTGACACGGCAATGAAAAAAAATATATATATATATAAAAAACATAAGCAGAAATATTTGAGTAAAAGTGTAAATTTAAAATGAAACTATTTGTGGCTACACTCTATATATTTAATGCGAGTGGATTCAAAGAATGCAAGTTGTGATAACATAGCCAAAAAACATGACCCAACGGTGGGCCATGAATTATGTATAATTGTTTACTCGCTTTGCACGCCACTGATTTTGACTAAGTATAACCTCAAATATCTTACGTCAATTATATAAAGTTTGTAATTGATATGTAAGATATTTGACGTTTCACTCTGTCCATAGGCGTGAACGAAATATTTTTAAAACTAATTTAAAAACGTAAAAATCAAATGGGCAGAACTAGGCCTATAATACAAAATATATAACGTAAAACATGGGATGTGACAGTTTAATTTAAATATTAACGTCAGTGTCAAAATTTCATAATAAAACTGTTAAGAAAATAGACAGAGTTGGTATTAATATGTTGGCTCAGTTAACAGAAACAAAATAATAGTAAACTATAGATTATTTGATAACTAAAAATCGTTAATAAATATTATATTAAAAACAATGATTAAACCTCAAAGAATGAAATTAAGTTGGGAAAATGTAAATAATTAGTTAATACAATACAAATTACAAAAAAAA